ACAGGTCTCAAACGGCAAGCATACTCGGGCCTTAAAGTTCTCAGCTCTCAGGGTCTCTGCAGATACAGACTCCAACACACACTTCTAGTGAGCCAAGTGATGAATAAAAGGGATTATGTTTGTATAAGTCTATACATTGTAGTTTAGGAAAATACTGTGTTTAATGTTGCATATGTTTTTTTTTTTTTATGAAAAGAGTGTTATTTATTAATTCAAATAAGCTTTGTTTGATTGTTAAAGTTCCATTATTGCCAAAGCTAAATGACATATTATTGAATGATTATGCTTTACATGCAAGAAAACAGAATAATCAATCACAAATCACCAGTTTGAACAGCACAATCTATTAAAACATGTGTCTTCTCTTTGGTTGTGGCAGGCAGACACATATTTTGCAGCCAAGAGAACTTTGTTGCTGCTTTTTTCAGAGATGTTGGAAAGTTTACCATCATTTGTGTGGCAAAGGGTTTCTGATGATGCTGGCTTTGTGAAGGAATTCTTTCCTAATTTTAGATTAGCTGGTTTACTCAGTGATCGGTCTCTAAATTCAATTTCATTCATTACATTTTTCCCAGAAAAACATGTAGAGGAGATTGGGGTAGGTTTTTTCACCCCTGAGTAATGTCTGCAGATCATCAGGTTACCATAATCCAATCCGTGAGACTGGCAACATATTAATATATCAGGTAAAATGATGCACAGACCTAGATCCTTGTATTTTAATTCCTATCTCACTCACCACCCAGAGTTTAAAGAAAAAACTTCTTGAGGCATCACCCAGCTTGATATGGGACACTGCTAAAGCAAACAAGAGGAATGATAATTTCCTATGGCTCTAAGCAGAAACAGAAATACCTATTTGATCAAAGGAAATTAGAGTCACACAATATCCAGGCAGGGTACAATGCAAACCCCTCAGAATGATTATGAAGGGAATTTCCAATTGTGAAAATGTCATTAGCAGCAGTGGTTCTCAAACTGTCAGGTAGGCCCCCACTAGTGCCGTGGAGTTATGGGGGGAGTGTGGATGACCAGGGGAAAAATATAATATGGAATATGGTTTAAATGAATGTGATTTATGTAGGGAACATAAACAAGAAAAGAGTTCGCTGATTCTATCATGCTGACCTACATTAACTAAAATTCAACTTTAGATCCTTTTGTCCACTTTTGATTGTAGGCCTGAGAGAACACGTAGGTCTTAAGCTTACTCTTTTAAGACAGCACCGTTCTGGAAGATCTGATATCATCAGGCAGTTTGTTCTGGAGAGTGGGCCCAGTGGGAGACACCCTACAGTCTTTTTGGGAAGTCAAGAAGGACATTATAGTAGTCTAGCCTATAGAGAATGTGTGAACCAGTTTTTCAGGGTCCGACTGAGACAACATGGATTTAACTTTGGAAATATTTTTTAGGTGGTATAATGCTGTCCTAGATATACTTGTATTGTGGCATGTGAAGTTGAGTTCTGGATCCAAGATAAAACCTAATCTCTAACCTGCTCACTGGGTTTAAGAGACAGCAAGATCAGTCTGGAGTTGATCTCTGTTTCTGACCTCCACTGGGATCTCTGTATAGTCTTTAATTTAATTTAATGAAGATCATATCATATCACTGACACAGTTGACAATATTATTAATAGTGAAATATACAGTTGTATATCATCAGCATATAATTAAAGATACATTGTGCTTCTGTATGAGTGATCCAAGTGGCAGCGTATAGAATTTGAAAATTAATGGGCCTAGAACTGAGTCTACAGCTGAGGTAACTACAGTATTAAAATTTTATGATAACCTAAAGTGGCAACAGAATGGGTTAAATGTGCACAATTACCTACTGTGTGCGATCGATTCTGCATAAAATGCATCAATCAAGGAAAGGTTGCAGAGAAATGTGTTGACTTCTTTGATGCTTAATTTCTATGCTAAGACTTAAAAATGTTGCCTGCTGATGTTGGCCTTTCTGGCATTCATTACCCTTCTTAGAAATGTACATGTAACGCAGGTTGTTCTGCCCCTACAGTATTTCAGAGCCCCGTCTAAAGGCCCAGTCTGTATTAATACAGTCTCAGAATCAGTATCAGAATCAGAATTTTGTTTATTACCAAGTAGGTTTTTACGCCTACGAGGAATGTGACCTGGTGCAGTTGGTGCATATAATATACACATATACAAATACAATATACAATATACAATATTCAAATAACACAAAAATCACACAGAAAAATAAAGTACTTTCAAAAAATAAATAGATAAAGATAAGAAGAGAAAGAGAAAGCTGTGCAGA